TTTACCCTTCTTGTGCAGTCTGTTGGCTTGCTTGAGTGTCCAGACGAGTTTGACCATTATTGGATAGGGCTTTATATTGATATTAAGTGTTTTATTTTACTTTGTGTTCTTCTTAATGTATTTGTGTGTTTTGTTTACTTTCTCTCCCTTTGAGAGTGCATATTTTGTAGTCTCCCTTGTAGAGTACTACATTGTATAGTCACATAGGTGTGTGTGTATGCGCGCGTTTTGTTGGTTTTGACCATTTGGACCGTTGTAAGTCGTGTAGATGAATACTTGTTATGCTTTTCTCTGTTTGGTTTCCTTTCTAGTTTAGGCTAGTAAGGATTATCCAGTATAATCTGTTGATTACCGATTTGTACTTTTAAAATGTGGTAATGATATTTGATGTTTGAGAAAAAATCCTTACATTAGTTGAAATGTAATGATCGTAGTTTTTTCCAACAATTTGTTGTTGTGGGAATTTTCTACAAGAATATGCAATTTACACTAAAACTTATTCTTGGACCATATTTTAATGGTTGGAAAAACTATTCTGAAAAATTGTCCAAGTCTAATAGAAATTCGAATGAAAAGTTAATTCTCACCGACTATGTTCAATGAACTATTTGTCGATCCTATGAACATACACAAATTGAAATAAAGTTATATACATTATTTGTATCTATATTGTATTTAATTAAAGTTATAAATTCGATAATATGTATATCACAGTTTAAAATTTTGACAATTAGTAAAAGTGAACAATGTAAATATAAATAGTATTAACTGACATATAAATCACTATAGTTATCCTGCAAATTGTAACAAATAATATTGTTTTTATAACTTTATGAGTTGTGGTAAACTAATTGGCTAGATATTATTATTATTATTATTATTATTATTATTATTATTATTATTATTATTATTATTATTATTATTATTATTATTTAAGTAAATTTAAGGGGTTTCGATTATTTTATTAAAATTAGCTAGCCGCTTAATAATATAAAAAAATAATATTAATATTAAAATAAATATCAACTCTGCAATAAAAAAATTTATAGGTAAATAACTTCCTTATATTTATAATTAGTTTTAATATTACATAAAAAATGTAGTAACAAAAATATTGTTAAACTTGAATTGATAAATATAATGTTAGCTTCTATAGTTAATTGAAAATTCATTGTTTGAACCAATAGGGGTTGGCTCAAGTGGTAAGCAGTTTGATTTCGCTTAAGTAAGATTTCGGGTTCGAGTCCTTGTGGATGCAGAAAACTCTTGTTGAGAGACTCACCCACCACTGCTAAGTGTGCGACCCGAGTCGACCAACGAATTAGTCGGGGCGTAGCTCCGAATACCGTGGCTGGCTAAAAAAAAAATAAAAAAAAAATATCGTTGTTTGTTGTGATTTAACATTACATTTTGATATGGGATATAACCTCATGGATCGAGCCAACCGAGTCATGACTAAACCGGGTATCGACCTCGCACCTAGACTACAGATATTGACCTCACACCTAAACGACAAGGATCGACCTTGCACCTTGGGGATCGACCTTGCACTTAGCATCACTGTAAACTGAGGTCAATCTCGCCAACATAAGTAAAACCCTTGGGTAATACCCAACTATACATAACCCGGACAATAAAGTGTCCACATATGAGATAAACGTCTATATATATAGAGAAGTATTAATTTCAGGGGTAAGTAGCATTTACTATTCAACAACCACAATATATCTACTGTTCATCTTCTTCCAAAAATCTCCCAACACTAACTTAAGCTTCTGAGGGTTTTGACGCCGGAAAACCTCCGGCGTCCCTTTGCAGGTACTTGCGAGCTCTAACACTAGCCGGAAAAAGGACGACGAGGTCATATCTCTGAGTCTAGAACCGTTCTAGATCGGAGCCACTCACTCAAGACCTTATCACATTTCAAGATTAATTAATAAAAAGGTATATAAAACATATTTGAAAGTAATCGGAAAAGGGGATAACAAATGTATTTCATTAAAATTTTATCTACAATTATATATATACAAATTTCTATTGAAATTCGTTAAAAATCCGATGGAGTAATATAAACGAGATATTCTTTGAAGCTATTATTGGAATATTTATCGAAAATATTGTTGAAATTCCGTTGGAATTTCAATAATTACTTATAGTGGCTTAATAATAAAATTGATCGTGACCCCAAAAACTTTAAATTTATCAATCTTAAACTTAAAAATTACATATTTCTTATTTTTTATTTTTATTTCAATGTTTTCATCTATAAATTTCCATATTATTGTAGCCATGTGGCTTATAAACATTTGTTGATGTTCTCTAGTCCTTTTAAATTTATACTGATAATCACTAGGAATCTCCGGTTGTACGATGCACAACCGGCCCATAATATTAAAATATTTATGTTTGAAGATGATATTTTCAAAATTTAAAGAAATATATCAAAATTGCAACAAATGACTATCGAAAAAGACTTATGGTTGCAAATGCACCTAAAAGCATTGATAACATAGATAAATAATAAGTAAAAAAATTGATCCCACGCAAGACGGTTAAAACACGACTTCTAGTTTTCAAAATTAAAGACAACTTGTCAAATATTATTTATGTGGTGACCAATTTATTGTCCTAAAATCTGCCACGGTGTATAAAATATTTCTTTTGTTTTGCTTGTGTATTTAGTTTGAGCAGAACATACACCAATTATCTCAATTTCCAGCATGTACGGGTTCCCAACCTATTTTGTAATGAATAGAGTTATCTTTCCAGATGTGTTAAAATTTTACAATGACAATGACTTACAACAATTTGCTCTTAAAATTGATACGTTTGCCTTTTCAAAACCATTCGCGTTTAAAATATAAAATTGAAATATCACATTCACCATGTCAGTTTCCCTGCACAATGAAAAGGGAAAGTAGGCAAAAATTCTTAACTGCCATAGTGTTTAAAAAAGATTCCATAAAATAATTTGAATATCCAGAATTCCACAAATACTAAGATTGGTAGTTGATTTATGTAAACAAACTAAAAAAAAAATGAAAAAAAAAAATACTTTTTAAAGTGTAACTGTTCTCTGAAAAAAAAAATAGAGATTTAAAAAAATACATCACGATTCAAATTCAAACCAAAAAATAACTGCCATAAAAGAACAACTATATGTATTTGTCACACTATTCTTGTCCATATATAAGTTGTTTTTATTTGACAATTTTATGAGCTTTTGTTTGAGAGGCATTTAAGCAAAAAATTGATACTTTATTGTCTTACCTGTATGGGTTTTTCCAAAAATTATATAAACATCTGATAAACATGTTAACAATTTTCAATTAACAATAAAAACTTTTAAACTTAAATTTCATAACAAATATATCAAATTGTTAATGCCAGAACCACAAAAAAAAAAATAATTACTACAATCATTGAACAACATAAAAATAACTTATCATCAACAAAAAAAAAAAATAATAATAATATCCTCGCTGCCATTTAACGCACACCAACACCAAAATTCAAATTCATCCAAAGAACCAAACAAAAATAAAATTAGTACACCCTCATCTTAGAATCATGCATCTCAGCCGGAAACCCGTAAGTCTTGTACCTCAAACATCCTCCGGACTGTCATCGAAATTGTGTTCGTGTTGAAACCCTCTCCTAATCAAGTCCTTGCTTATCATCTCCGATATCGATGTATTTGAAGGGATACCTCATGAAGAGACACAATTGATTACAAAATAATAAAAACTAATAAGTGAGAAAACGGTTAATCAAATATATTAGTTTAACAAAAAGCGAGTAATGGAAACATAAATTATCTTCTTGACTTAATAATATACGCATGTAATAATGGGAATAATATTGGAAAAATTTTATAACTGTCCCATTTATAATACAATTCTACAAACGTCAAGGGTTATGATGAATTCCAAAAAGGGGTATGGTGAATTCAAAAAATACTTGAATAAGAAGTTGCATTAATCAAAATTCAAAAAAATAACTTCTTTTTTTTTTCTCTTTCTCTTTCTCTTTTTCCTTCTCTCTCTTTCTTCTCACACTTCGTTTTTTGCTCTGTTCTTCTTCTTTTTCTCCTCATCTTCTTCTTCTTCTTCAAACATAAAAACTAAAAAAAAAAACAAAAATAAAAGAATGATCAATTAGTACTACTACGTCTGCAATATGATTTAATTTCCATCAATTTCTGTCATTTTTTTAATCATAAAAAAATATTAAAAATTACAAAATAAACATATATTACAAGAGGTCTTAAGTTAGATATATTCAAAGCCGAAGAGATATGAACAAGATATTGAGCAACAACTAAGTAATAACATAACAACTAAAAAAAACAAGAAAACAACTTTAAGTTAACCAAATATGAGGGAGATGGAGAAAGGAACTAATCACTTTGATGCACGAATGTTTATAGCCCATAACAACAAATTCTAGATGTGCATAAAACTTGATTTTCGGGACACAGAACAACAATAACTCATTACACAAAAATATATTTTAGTCATTTTCATGCCAAAATCTATTTTGAGTCGCAACCTCAAATGGATAACAAGACCTGAAACCCATATCAAGACATGTCAAAATGGACAAATCGAATTCACCACAGCATTTCTCAAGGACTAAAAAAACTAATTGTATAAAAAAACACCAAAAAAAAAAAAAAAGAAAAATAATGGAGGTAGGCGAAGGACAATTTTCTCTATCTTAAATCCAATCACGATAACTGAAAATCATTAAAGCCCACAAATTAAAGGAGAAAAACAAATGCACAAAATAAGAATTTAATTGATAAAACACAAAAAAGAAAAAAAAATTAATTGGGTGATTGATTTATAAGGTCTTGTAGATGTGGCTTCGTGACGTCATTGGTGAGCCTGAAAAATGGGTTTTTACGGGTGTCTTCTCTCTTTAGTTCTCTTGCCGTCGTTGGATTTTGCTGGAACTTGAGATGGATTAATCTTCTTCTATTTCGGAACACTCTTTTAATGGTACACCCGACGGCGTCGAAGACGAGGAAGGTGTTGGGGATGGAATAGTCCATCGATTGCCATCTATGATTGAATTTTTTTGGGAATAGAATTGTTTGGAATTCATTTTTCAGAAATAGAGAATTGAATTTGATTTACGATGGAGATAAAAAAGAATGAAACTGGAAAGAAGGAACCAAGAAGATAAGATAGGCACGTTCATTTGAGAGAGAGAAATCTCTCTCTCTCTCTCTCTCTCTCTCTATATATATATATATATATATATATATATATATTAAAAACCAACCTATTTATCAAAAATACTAGTACAGAGCCCGTGCGATGCACAGGGTGCACAATTAAGTCATTTATTCATTTTTATAATTATATAAATGAATAAAAAAATGTACGGGATATATATAGTACGTGACCTGTAATAGGCCAAAATGTGAACATGGGTGATGCACGGGGTGCACAATTTTATGGTCATTTATTAGTACAGAGCCCGTGAGATACACGGGGTGCACAATTTTCTAATATGTGTAATAAAAATACATACCGTATGCACGGGACAGAAGCACTAAATGAGTCATTTCCACAGAGCTTGCCCGTTAAGTAGCTCCTAAATACAGGTGCACAATTTGTAATACGTACCATAAAATCAGAACAGATTTCCATACAATTAGATAATAAATTAGATAATAAATAAAACCTTTTTATTTTAGTAAAGATTTTACGTACTTTATTTTTTTACTTATCGGATGTTATGGTGTTTTTTTTGTTAAACCGATTTTTTGGAATATAATACAAATACAATTAGAGGATTGAACAAAATCAGAACAGATTTTCATACAATTAGATAATAAAAAGGAATTAGATAAGGAAAAGAATGAATTAAATAAGAAAAAGAAGGAATTAGATAAGGAATTTTGAATCTGCCTTTTTTTTTTTGGATAGATAGACTTTACGTACAAATTTTGACTTCACTGATTTTATGGGATTTATTTTGACAAAATCAATGTTAATATGGAATAAGACAAATAAATAAAGTCTTTTTATTTTAGTAAGATTTTACGTCTTTTTTTTTACTTGTCATATGTTATGGAATTTTTTTTCTTAAACTGATTTTATGGGATATAAGACAAATAAATAAAATAATTAAATAAAATTCTGGATAGAAATAGCAATGCATTAATTACGTTGACTTTTCAATATACTAAATTTGGTAAATAGGATACCTTATAAGATAAGTATAGATACAAATAAATAACATGCCAAAATTTTAAAGAATAATTAATGTATTTTAATTTATTATCTAGCCATCAGTAATATCATTTAATGATGATGTGATCATTATCTCTTAAATGATAAATAAAATATTAATTTTAAAAAAATATTTGTTTTTTATATAATCAAATAAAAATTAAAAAATACTATCGACAAATATGAATTATAATATATATCAGTAAAATAAAATCATTGCAGAAGTTCATAAAATTATTTAAGGAAAGAATCTTTTTGATCATATTTGAATATGAAATATATATATATGCAAGCAATTAATGCATATAGTAAAAAATTTCTAAATAAAGTATACATTAAATGTGAGTTGACTTTTTTTGCTACTATTTTTGGTAAATAGTATGGCTTTTAATATAAGTATAGATTAACAAGAAAAGTCAACACACATTTAATGCATACCTTATTTGGAAATTTTTTACTATATGCATTAAATGCTTGCATATTTACACTTATTATCCAGATATGATCTTAAAATTTTTTTCCTTAAATAATATATGCAATTATTTTACTGATATCCATTATAATTAATATTTGTCGAGTAATATTTTTTAACATTTATTTAATTATATAAAACTAATATTTTTTTAAGAAAAATAATATTATTTATCATTTAAAAGATAATGATCACATCATTAAATAATTTTATTGGTGGTTAGATAATAAAATTATATTAGTTATTTTTTAAAATTTTTACTAAAATAAAAATCGGCTTAAGAAAAAAAAATCCCATAACATCCGATAAGTCAAAAAAAGTACGTAAAATCTTTACTAAAATAAAAAAAAAAGACTTTATTTATTTGTCTTATTTCATAATAACATCGATTTAGTCAAAACAAATCCCATAATCGGTGATGTCAAAAAATGTACGTAAAGCCTATTTATACAAAAAAAAGGCAAATTCAAAATTCCTTATCTAATTTCTGTTTAAAGCATTTTATTTAATACTTATTTATATGAAATATTGGATAGGATTGTTGGATCTATGTCAATTTTGAAATCGCGTTGTTTGGTATGAGAGGATTATCTGCATCCTATATCTATCTAAAACATATTATTTTATATTATTTAATTAATTTATTTAATATTAATTTTTTATCCATGATATCAGTTTTGTCAAAAAAATTGAACAAACAAACAAATAAAAAAGAAACGGGATTAATTACCTTCGACTTGTAAAAATTTTATGGGTGGACGTAAATATTTAACAATGCTGTTTCAAATTCCTTAAATAATACTATAACTATGATGTTAAAATATAATCTGTTTTATGAGTGACGTAAATATGTTGCTTAAAGTTCCCTAAAATAATTTTTTTTTTTAAAAATTATGCTGTTTAAAGTTCTTTAAATATTAATATATTTAAAGTATACACATGTTTGTAATATATTAAAATCAAGACAATGTTGGAAGGCTTTTGAATATCTAAGTTAATTAATTTAAATGTTTAGTCCCATTAAATCTTCAATTCATGGAATATTTTTACTAATGCCGTGAGCATGTTGTTTTGTTATTGTAATAAACTTATACACTATTTTACTAATAAATTATTTAATATCTTTGTACAAGGAGGTCTTTAATAATATATGATTTTTTTTGTCAGATACTATTTTATTGTATAATTTTCCTGCGTACTATAAAACTTTTATTGAATATTGCATCTTATAATATAATATTCTCTAAATAAATATATCCCGTGTCTCGCACCGGTACCGTACTATATATATCCCCGTACATTTTTTTATTTATTTATATAATTATACGGCTGGATAAATAACCTTAAAATTGTGCACCTCGTGCACCGCACGGGCTCTGTACTAGTAAGAACAAAAAAATAAAATAAAATAAAAATTAAAAACTAAAACCGCTACTTGGAGTAAAAATGAAAATAGAAAAGGCGTTTTTTATATAATTATAAGCAGATTCTTTATGTGAACAATCTATTTGAAAGGATATAGAGTGTCTTTATTTCGAACAATATTTGATAAGGGATAAGGGAGAGGCCCAATAAATGCCCAAAAGCAAGTTACCAAAAAAATAATAAAAAAAAAAAAAACAAAATGTATAGGAAGAAGTTTAGGCTATACACGTGGCTTTAAAAGAGGCACTCCAATGTTTTGGGTCTACTTTTCTTCATGTGGCAAATAAATACACTTGACTCTATAATGACATGAACAAATTCAAACTAAAAGATCCAAAATCTATCTAATGCAAAATAAAAAAGTACTATGTCTAGAATATTAAATAACCAATAAAAATATAGTAATAATTGACAAAACATATCCTAGTAATAATTGTTCACAATTGTTCACATCCTAGTCATTAATATAGTAATAAAAATATAGGTCTAGAAAAAAGAGACTAAGTCCACACTTGGGTCTATTTTGGACCCAAGTGCAAACTAACCTAGTCATTAATTGTTCACAATTTTCTTTTTCTTATTAATAGGCAAAACACATTTTTTTGTATGCATTTATTATTACTATACTTTTATTGGTTGTTTAGCATTCTAGACCTAATACTTTTTTTGTTTTGCATTGGATAGATTTTGGATTTTTTAGTTTGGGTTTGTTCATGTCATTATATACTTATGTCTATTTATTTGCCACATATGCAAAAAGAGACCCAAAGCATTGTGGGTGCTCCTACAAGAGAGAAAAATAAATAAGAGATTATTAAATGGTTAATTAATTAGTTGATAATTCATTTATTATAATCTATATATATATATAATTACTAGCTAATAGCATTTAATAAAACCTATTTAATTTTATCTATGTGGCAATTTAACATTTTTCCCTCCAAAAACCATTACTTTTGATGTATTTAATCTTTCATTAATTATTAAATAATCAATACTAATCACTTCAAAATTACAAAAATCATTTTGAACTCTTGATTACTGACAATTGACCATATAATGTGTTGACCGTATAATGTGATAAGATATTATTATTGTGGTTACATTTAAATTATTATTTTTTTAAAAAAATAAAAAACGTATTTAAAATTCCTAAATAATAAATTGTTCACAAAAAAAGACGTACCAAAATACACATTACATCCAATCAGATAAACGCAATTTAAAAAAATAAATAAATATCCCAACTCTTTTAATTGTAAATTTTGCCAAAAAAAGGTCAAAGAAAAATAATTAATCATTATATGCATACAAATAACTCACAATACTTTATTTACATTTGTGCAAATGCATAGGTCGAATACTAGTTATTATAAATATTGGCCATTTACATGTTTACTACTATTTTAAAAATTTTATTTTTACAAAAAGGTGACATTAAAATTAAATTATACACAAACCATTTACTAATAGTCATAAACAAACAGAAACATAATGGATATTAAGAATCAACGACAAAATAACCCAAAAATCAACTGTTCATAAATTATAAAAGCTACTAATTTTCATTAAAATAAATCTTCGAAATGTAAAAGTAAATTGAAACTTGAAGATAAATGATGTAATTTTTTTTTTTTTCAAAATATAAAATAAAATGAGAAATTGTGTCTGGGCCATCGTAGTGCTCAAGCTACATTGAGGCCCAATAACACTTTAATAAGTCCATCACATAATATGCCCAAGTCCATCATCTTGCATTCCCATTTCCTATATAAATAGCCCACTCAAAACTTCTCTTCTTCACCATCACTCTATCATCATACTCAAAAATATTTCAAGCTCTCATCAGCTTTCTATCGCATAGCTGTCCGAAGGAAGCCTAGGAAGGTCCAATCGCGATGCCACGGCGTGGTGACGAGTACGAGGACAACGACGACTAGAAGCCGGAGGAGGAGTACGCCGTCGACGAAGAAGACGAGGAGGATAACTACGAGGACGACGGCGGGAAGACGAAGCGCAGGAGGGGTGGATCGCAGTACATAGATTCGTACGCCGAGGAAGACGAGTACGATGATGAGGACGAGGAATACGGCGGGGGCCGCCGTGGCCGTGGAGTGAAGCGCAGGAAGGGTCCGATGGACTTCTTTGACGACGAAGCAGTTGTGGATAGCGATGAGGAAGAGGATGAAGATGATGAAACGGAAGACGGTCAGGGTTCTTATCCGTTTCTCCTTTCCTTTAATTTTTATTTATTTTTTATTCTTTTACCCAGTAGGGATTTCAATCTTGTTATTGAATTTCGAGTTAATTTGCTCTTAATATCGACGGCATAACTGGAAAAGCTCGGGCCTTTAGTTTAGTGATCAATAGAAGTGAAATGGGGGGAAGTAAAGGTGGCCTTTTTTCTTTTCCCGACATTTTATGTCTAAGTTAGTCGGGTTCAAATGTGAATTGGAGAACTGGAGAAGAGAGCGCGTGGCGTTTATTAATTGGGGAATTCAAGTTGGGAGGGATTCAGGGTGTCTTTACTGTCTAGAGTCCATTTTAGTTGTCATGGCAGAATGAACTCTGATTACTGATAAGTGAATATTCTATTTTGCTCCTAAGATGATTTTGTGCAGTTGACGGAGCCTTATGTGTGGAGCATGTGTTTAAAGGTTTGCATTACGAGTATTTGGTAATAAAAAAGATAAGATTTGAGGTTATGAAAGTTGCATTTCTGCTGGCGGGGAAACCTGTGAAGATAAAATGGGGTCGTGTATATATATATTGCTTCAGATGACTTAAAAAGCAAACGGGTGACATTTTTTCCCTCCACGTCGTCAAACAGGTTATTTCCCTCTTCTTGGTCACGTACAGGACGATGAGAGTGTATTTAGAACTTAAGTGTCGTATCGATTCATGTAGAACATAAAGTCAGTGTCTATATTTAATAAGTTTTCTGCACAATCTTTATGTCTCTAACGTGTTACCTGTATGTATAAGTGGAGGTTCAATTCATCATGTACTTTTATCCTTCTTATTTTTCCCTTTGATATATTATCGCCTATCGGAGCTTCTATTTTTATATAAATGCAATAATCCATGCTAAGATGCGCAAGATAGAAAAATGTTAAGACACTCAACTAAAAACGAATAGTATCAAGTATGAGTAGGTGGTATCTATATCTTAGATGTGGCGGGTTTGATGTATAAATGTGGTTGTAGCTGCTAACTGTTGGGTTATTGTGTTTCAATTATGCAAAGAACAAAGTTGAAATTGGGTGACATATCAGCAACCCGCTACCTTAGGTGGTTAGAAGTTGGAGTTTTTTTTTTTTTTTTGGTTAGAAGTTGGAGTTAAGGATTTATTTATGGTCAGATATCCATGGTCTCGTATTTTAAATTTTACCTTGTGTTTTTAGAGAAATGGATTAAATAATAATCTGGATGTTATTGGCCCCCAGTGTGCACATGTAGTAACTGTCAGTGTTGGTATAGTGTTATTTTGTTAATTTTCTAGCTTCTATTGTCTCAGTTTTCCTATATAGTTCAGTGCTTGTTGACGAGCAGTTTTTTGGTTCCTCACCACTTTTTTTGCTTTGGTAGACAAGTTTACCATTTTGTGACCATCTACGTCAACTGTGGGTCTGATTATATGGTTCTGCATACATAGATTTCATTGATACTGTGCTTGATTTACCTGATGTGGGTGATAGAAGAATTCATCACCGTCCCCTGCTTCCACATGAGGATGAGCAAGAAGATGTTGAGGAAATTGAGAGACAAATTCATGAGAGATATGGTGCTAGGAGCCTTAATGTTGAACACGATGAGGAGGCTACAGATGTAGAACAGCAAGCTCTACTGCCATCCGTGAGGGACCCAAAACTATGGATGGTGAAATGTGCGGTATGATAATATGGTGCTTCATTTTATTGAATCAAGCTAAAGAGAGTTGAAAAGACTATCGAATTTCTTTATGTCCAACCAATTTTGTATATCACTTGTTTGTGAAAGATTGGACGTGAAAGGGAGGTAGCAGTCTGCCTCATGCAAAAGTGCATTGATAAAGGACCCGAAATGCAAATTAGATCTGCCATAGTACTCGATCATCTCAAAAACTACATATACATAAAAGCAGACAAAGAGGCTCATGTGAGGGAGGTATGTAACATCAGATTCCTCTGTTTCTTTTCTCCAGCAGCTTTTTTTTACGAATGATGATGTACCTATATGTGGAGTTCAATTTTTTTATTCATCTGGTGTATAGATGTTAAATTGTGTGGTTTCGTCAACTGCAGGCTGTTAAGGGTATGCGAAATATTTATCCAAGTAAGATAACGCTTGTCCCGATCAAGGAGATGACAGGTGTTCTTTCGGTTGGAAGTAAAGCAATTGATATTTCTAGGGACACCTGGGTTAGAATGACGATTGGTATATATAAGGGGGATCTTGCCAATGTATAAATTTCTTCTTTATTTGTTTCTTCTTTCTCTTTATTTTATCATTTTGTCTTTTCAGAAATGAACCGTGGAAGTTCTGTTTTATGTAAATGCAAGGTTGTAGATGTTGACAATGTGCGGCAGAGAGCTACCATGAAATTAATCCCAAGGATTGACTTGCAGGCCCTGGCTAACAAATTGGTTTGTATTTGTAATTTTTGTTTTATATAGTATTGTAATGACCTAGGTGAACATTGATCATATGTGCATATGATATCAGTGGTCGGTGGTGACAAGCTTTTGTGTGTATGGCAGGAAGGGAGGGAAGTTCCAAAGAAAAAGGCATTTACTCCTCCTGCACGGTTGATGAATATTGATGAAGCTAGGTAGAGTGGCTATGTTCTTCTCTTATTATTTCCTTAACTCATGGTTATTTTTGGCACTCCCTCAATACTTTTATATTCACTTTCAATCCAGAGACCTTCATATTCGTGTGGAGCGTAGAAGAGATCCATCTACTTGTGATTATTTTGAAAAAATTGAGGGGATGATCATGATGTTCAAGGATGGGTTTTTGTATAAAAATGTATCACTTAAATCTCTCAGAACTCAGAACGTGCAGCCAACTTTTGATGAACTCGAGAAATTTAGGCATACTGGTGAGGGTGGAGATGGTGACATGTCAGGTTTGTCAACACTTTTTGCATACAGAAAGAAAGGTCATTTCATGAAGGGTGACAGGGTTATAGTTGTCAAAGGAGATCTTAGAAACTTGAAAGGATTGGTGGAAAAAGTTGAGGAAGATACTGTTCATATTAAACCAAATGAAAAGGGCCTTCCTGTGAGTGGACAGATGTATAATTAATCTGAAGTTTTTCTTTCGAATAGTATGCTATCAGTTGAAATTGACATTTTTCACCCGTTAATTTGCAGAAAACTTTGGCTATCAATGATAAAGAGCTCTGCAAGTACTTCGAACCTGGAAATCATGTGAAGGTGGTATCTGGTGCTTCCAAAGGTGTAACTGGTATGGTAGTCTCTGTTGAAGGCCATGTGGTTAACATAGTATCAGACACGACTAAGGAGCTTGTATGTCTT